TTTCTTTATTTATTTATGAATATTTTACGTGGTTTTAAACGGAGAAAATTGCTGATTTTTCAGCACAATCTGGCAGCAATGCTCCGACCCGTCAATACCAGGGTTCGCTCCCTAATTTCAAAAGCACAACATTCTCTCTCGCGATGAGCGTCTTGAAAAGTTCTCCCGGGAGTTTATCCAAGTTCCGAGCCAGGTATTATAGCGTCGCCCCTCTGACGCAAGGGCTTATCTCATTTTCCACGTGAGCCCTGCTTTACATATGAACCCATGCTAACTGGGGCCCATACACAAATCCAGATACGCCTTCGCGTTAGAGGAGCGACGTTACAGCGGCGTGTCGTGCTTTGCGATGGATCGTTTGATCTGCCACCTAATCTCGTGAAAAAAGATCGATTATCAGGATATTCGCAGATAAACACGTTGATAAATCGATTCTTTACCGTAGATTCAAATAGGACAGTATCGATTTAATATCGCCAGCGCTTCGCCGAAAATGAAAAACAAAACAAAACGGTGGGATCCTCGAACCTTGAACGAAGGCACCGAGAGAAAGGGGGGAGGTGGGGGGGCGGTTTTCTCAAGACAGGGATGAGTGAAGACCACTCATCTAATCGAAAGTATGCAATACGCGGGGAGGGTGGAGTTNGGGGGGGGGGGGGGGGGGGAGCAAAACAAACTCGAAGTGGGGATGTCACTCAAGTCGCGCGTTCCGGGTAGGTTGTTAAGGTGTATCAGGGTTGTCTGCTTAATCGAATGTTTTCAAAAAGGCACAGGTCGATTTCCGTATTGAACCCGGAGTGTGTAAGCATGCATGGAAACTAGGGCTCAAGAGATGGACTTGTTTCTCTTCGAAAACGATTGGCTTATTTGACTCTGACACTCTGTGCCGTGTAGAAAAATAGGCGGAGGTGGTGTTTTAATAATATGTGCCTCTCTACGTCGCGAATGTAAACGAATGTGTTGAGGTTGATTGACGAGGGAAAAACGAATACCAGTGCTACTCTGCCGTGCTTAGGAAGAACGCCGTATGAACATTAAAGAGTTGCCAAATTTGCTTCTATGAAATGTTTATTTCGGAGGAAGGATATGAATATTTTTCCTGAAAATTTTCAGGGACTCTGAGTGAATTTACGCGAACAAAATTATCTGAGAAAATGGAAGGACAATTCATAAGTTTACCAGGAAATTCGTGTTTCATCAAAGGAAACTTGGCAACCTCTGGAGGTTCATACGGCGTTTTTCCTTAGCACGGCAGTACTGTGGTAAGAAAAAACGCCGCAAGATCCTTCAGGCGTTGCCAAATGCCCTCAAATAAAATACGAATTTTGAGGAAAATTTTTGATTATTTTTCTTTGAATTTTCCAGAGAATTTCATTCGTAATCAGAGCTACATTATCCGAAAATTTCACGAGAAAATATTCATAAGTCGCCTTATAAAGGAACATTTAATTGGAGGAAATTTGGCAACTCTCGAATGCTCATTCGGCATTTTTCCTTAGCACGGCAGAGAAGGTTCCCTGGCAAAGCTCTAAACTGGCATCACGTAGTTCTGCCGTGCTAAGGAGAAACGCTGTATGATCTTTCAGGCGTTGCCAAATTTCATTTAATAAAACACGAATTTCCTTGTAAACTTATGAATATTTATCTTCTGGTTTTTCGGATAATTTAGTTCGCAATTCCACCCGAAGTTTTGGATTGGGTACCACGTGGGAAGAGGCGACGGGGACGTCCCGTAAAGGGTTGGCGGCAGGGCGTTGACGAAGAGATGTTGCGGTGTCAGTTGCCCGATAACCTCTGGGAAGACAGGCATATGTGGCGTTTGGGTGTCGTAGAACGCCAGAGTGCGTTGTAAAGTGACTTTATATATTTCACCTGAAAGTATTGAAAATTTCTAGGGAAAATATGCATTACTTTCCTTAAAAATGAACATTTTATCGAAGAAAATTCGGCAACTCTCGAATGTTCATACGGCGTTCTTCCTTAGCACGGCAGAATTATAAGAGCTCCGTCACGCTCACGGGCGGGGGGGGGGGGGGGGGGGGGGGTGTCAAAAATTGGGGGAAACACGACTAGTAAAACGTGAACGGTTCTTTATGAAGATCATCAAATGGGCGAATTTATGCTAAAAGGAACTATATGCATAAGGTTTATGCCCAACATAGTTCCTTTTAGCATAAATACGTCCAAATGAAAACATTGGTCTTTACAATTAATAAGGAACCTTCGGAGTAAATATTCCAAAAGTACGCGTTGCTAGGATTGCTACTATGCTATGGATGAACGTCGTAAGAGCCATCAGGCTTTGCCAAATTTTATTTAATAAAACAAGAATTTGCCCTGGTAGAAACTTCGGTAAACTTAACTATAACTGGTAAACTTAAATATTTCAAAGTCATGAGTTGAAAAACGCTGACTCCACGAGATTAAATATTGGAGCCTAACACAAAAAGCGGAGCGGCAGCGCACTGGCGCCTACAAACCTAACAGGGATACTTCATGCATTGCGCAATGCGTGAAGTATCCCTGTTAGGTTTGTAGGCGCCAATGCAGCGTACCACGGCGGCGCTTGAAGCAACTATTTCACACCAGAGGTATTGCACAGTCTCATACGAAATTGAAGGCGCTCCAACATATTAGGAATGGCGAGCATCCTTCAAAAGTACGGAGCTTTCCTCGCAAAATAAATCAAGATATTACGGCCCAAAAAAAGGGCAGTATTCCAAAAACTCACCAAGTCCTAGCATCCGTAATTAGTAACGTTTGGCATACACTTTATCGCCAGGCTGTTGCTTAATCGCCATCGGCTATAAAAGGCTATAAGAAATTGTGTTGCCGGCTATAGAAGCTATCGGAAATCTCACAACCGACTGTAGGTCTATGGTATTTTGGAACACAGATTCTACTGCCAATTTTTACCAGGGCCGACAAATAATGTGTATTTTCGAAGAGATTTATGAATATTTTGTCTTTAAAGTTTCAATTAGGTAATTTAGATCTAATAGCGAAATTCCCCGTAGAACTCGAAAATATATATTTACATATCAATGGGCCACAGTGTGAGATCGCGTATCTTTAAGCGTTTCATGATTTATTTTATCTCTGGAAAACTATAGTCAACGTAATTTGTTGAAAATGTCTTATCTATTTGCGAAATACCCTACATAAATTTGGAGATTTAAAGTTGGTTCGCTTCTCTTCGAAAAAATACTACAGGGGTGGAAGTTTTGAAACACTATAATGCTGCCGTGCTAAGGAAAAACGCCGCATGGGCTTTCGAATGTTGCCAAATTTCCCCTCAGAAAATGTTTATATTGGAAGAAAGTTATGAATGTTATTCCTTGAAATTTTCAGACAATTTGAATCAAATTACGAACAAGATTCTGTGAAAAAACGAAAGTGGACTATTTATTTTCAAATTTACCCGAAAATTCATGTTGCATAATATGAAATTTGGCAACGTCCGATGATTCATACTGCGTTCCTCCTTAGCATGTCAGACTGGAGATGCGTGGCTTTGCTCTTTGACCATCGATATTTCCTTGAAAATTCATATTTTACCAGTGGAAATTCGGCAGCTTCCGACGGCTCATAGGGCATTCTTCCTAAGCATAGCAGTAAGCTGACGTGCTAAGGAAGAACGCCTTATGATAATTCGAGAGTTTCCAAATTTCCTTCGATAAAATTATTATTTTTGAGAAAAGTTATGATTATTTTTCCGATTAATTTTCAAGAACTCTAGGTAAAATTGCGAAAAAAAATTATCTGAAAAATTGGAGTAAAAATATTCATACAAACTTCCCCCAAAATTCGTGATTTACCAAAGGAAATCTGGCGACGCCAAAAGGTTCATACGGCGTTTTTTCTCAGCAGTAAGGATGTTGATGCGCAGTTAGGCAAGAAATCCTTCCGAAAATCTTCCGAAAGAGGAAGCGGTGTTGTACAGGGCTCACTTGGCAGCTCAACTGCGGGAAGAGGCTCTAACTGGGGGACGGGGAGGGGGTAGGGGAGCACCAGGGAGATCGATAGACTCCCCCCCCCCTGCTTCCAACCCCCTCTCGCCTCCCGGCAACCTCGAGGTGGCTCCTGCGCCCAGGTGCTTTTCCGCCCATCGCACGGCCGGATCTAAATTCAAGATTTTCGAGCCGAAAAATTGCACCGTTGATTGGTCCCAGCGACGCACCCCAAGTTAGTGATCCGATATTAAATCCCTAGCAGGAAAGAAAAAACATCCCTACATTTCGCTAAAAATTCCTGAAGTCCCAGATTTGCTCAAATATTCCCAAAAAATCCCTAGATTTTGCAAAAAAAACTGCCATTTTAGAGTTATGACGCCATTCGATACATTGATTGGTAATATTTAAATATGATTGGCTCGTTTGAATTTTACCGCTCTCTGAAAACGTAGTGCCAAGTAGGGCTAAAACAGACCAATAAAATGAAAGATGATTAGTTGAGTTTTCCTTGTTGTTGTTGTTTTTTTTTTTACTGCTAAAAGTCAATTATATTATCGAGTGACGCAATACTTCCTGTTCCGGCTTATTTACAGAGAAAATAGCGTTGCCAATAAGGCTTACAAAATATAGATGAAAACATATTTTAGCTAAAATTGAGGTATAAAAGTCGTATTTGCTTACTTTTACCTCATCAAAAAAAAATCCCTAGATCTGGTTATAAATCCCTAGACATCGGATCACTGCCCCGCGTAGCAGCAATAGCGATAAGTTGCGATTTGATGGAAGAATGTATCGCAATTTTTCCGACGTCGATTTATTGCAATTTTATCGGATGAAAAATTGCGAAGGGAAGGGGGATTGGCTCGCTTCGTTGATCAACGATTGTAAACACAAATAAGAATAAATTACCATTACAAGGGAAATTTCGTTTGTCGCAGGAGAGACGAGTGGCGCATGAACCCAGAATAAAATTCCATCACCTCGACGAAAATTTTCCTTGTCATGATGATCCATTATTGTAGTGACAAGGAAAAGAGTTCTTCGGAATTTTTTTTTATATCAAAAATTTAATCATAACTTACAATTTGGAGCCCAACTACTGATATTTGTCTCCCCGTTTCGGTTTACAGTTTTAAGTTTCAGTCCTAAATAGTCCGACTGAGAGTCTCAAACATCATACACACCTCTGGACTTTTCGACTTGAAATGCTTTTCATTCTTTTACATTTTACGTAACTAGATTACTGGAGTCCAGGCCAAATAAGTTCACGCACTTTTGGACCGCGACGGAAGATCCGCCATCTTGCTTGTTGCATTTACTTTCCATGTAATACTGACGTCAGACCATCCTCTGTCGTAGTCTAGAAGTGCATAAACTTCTGGACTCTATCTACGCTTAACAACGCAAGACTCGCACATTAATAATTGGCACACATTAGAGGAAAATGGAAACATAAATGCATCCGGATGTAACAAAGGTTCAACAAAATTCTAACATATTTGACTTAGTTTAGAAATATAACACAGTTCACATAGGAAGAACGCCGTATGAACATGGAGTACATAGTGTCGTAATGTAAATGGGAGAGCTGGCGCCATATGTTCAGCTCGACGAGTTCCGAGCCCGGTGTGCGCCGAGTTCGGGTCATTTCTTCGATACATGCGCGATCCAAAACGGCGGTGTGGAATACGTGGTGATTCCTATCTTCTTTGTTTACATCGGATGGCCGGGTACCCGTGTATCGCAAACAATCGATCATGTATCGAAAAAGTGACCCGGCGTCACACAGGAGTCTCGGAATTCGGGACCTGGAAAATGCTTAAAAGTGGCGCCAGCTCACCCATATACATTACGACTCTATGTACTCTATGCGTATGAACGGCGTTCTTCCTTAGCACGGCAGCTTAGTCTATCGTTTTGTCTATCAATTGCAAATAATCACCCCGAATAGACTCGCGAGTAATCACTGGACCGGAACCTCGTTTTCAGGGACGGCGAACTGCTTAATATTGAGGTAGCGGAGGTGTTCTGGGACGTATTCGGGCATCCACTCCTCCTTGATCATGTCGGCGACCTTCTCGCCGATCATGTAGCAGGGGGCCTGGGTGTGGGCTGCCGGGAGGGTGGGGATGATGGAGGCGTCAGCCACGCGGAGGTTATGGACGCCGTAGACCCGGAGCTGGGCGTCGACGACAGCCGTGGGGTCCGTCGCGGGGCCCATCTTGCAGGTCCCGCACTGGTGGTGGAGCTGCGTCGTGATGGTCCGCGCCGCGCACTCCCAGTACTCGTCCGCCCCGAACGGCATCGTCTCGCAACCCGGGATCGGGATTGTGACCAGCTCGCTGCCCAGGGCCTGCGCAAGAGGAATTTCAAGATTAAACGAGAGTCCCTTTATACTGAGAGTCAAGACAATGTGAATCCATTTCTAATTGGTTCCCGTATTTTAGGCCTCCACAGTGTCACAAACGGGAATAAAGATTACATTTTCAACTATTGCAAAGATTATAATCTGGAGTGGACCAGGGAATTACGGGTTTGGCAAGGAACAAACGGAATGAGAAAAGGAACGAAGAAAGGAATTTGAGAATGGGCCGATCAAAGATTACAAAGGACTTTCAATTTCTGTAATCTTTATTCCCGTTTGTGATTCCATGAGGCCCAGGGCCTGCGCAAGAGGAATTTCGAGATTAAACAGGGATAAGATGGATTCAGTGGCGTATTTGCGGGGGGACCCGGGGGTCAGGACCCTCCCAGAGCCCCCAAAAGAGAGAGAGAGAGAAAAACAAGAAAAATCAAGGGAAAAGAAGAAAAATCAGGTAGAGAGAGAACACGATGATATTTTCGGCCAGAGGAACGAGTGGAAGGATTCGACGTCGGACCGAAAGGGCCTCGAGCGTCGGCCAGGAGTCTCATTTTTTCTTCAGGAAGTTAGTAGATTTTTTCCATCTTATACTTAAAACAAAACATCGCATTTGGTCTTGTATAAGATTTTTTGAAGTCCTTTGGGGGAGAAAAGTGGAGAGCTCCTTATCACTTTCCATGGCAGAAATTGTCCAAAAGTGGGGTTTTACGGGGTTAAAATCCTGCAAATTTTCCGGGGGTGACCCTCCGTGGGAGGTTTGTCCCCCTCCTCCCCGAACCTTACCCTGCTTACGCTACTTGATGGATTAGGTTTATGCACGACTACTGTCGGGCAAACGCTTGAATGCAACTATTATAGCTCAGTGGTTGTCCGTGCGGTATTCATCAAAAATTGAAGGCGTTTGTCTTCCCATGTCATCATTCGTCACCTCCCGGCCAAAGTATCACAAGCGCTATGCGACGTTTAAAAATTTCCGCCACCATTATATTTGTTTACAGAGAAATTCTTCAATGAAGCTGTCCGAAAATATCACTGAATTTTCTTTGTGACGCCGACAAAGTTCAGGGAAATTTTCAAACAGATTCAATCAACAATTTTTCTGTAAAAAAATAAAATGGCGGCGGCAATTTTGAAACGCCGCAAGGCTCTTTTGATATACTTTGGCCGAAAGGTGACGATTTATCAAAGCGCACCTATCTACCTACATTGAGAACCGAATGACGTTTTTGTTCTTTCTAAACTGATCTACAAATTGTAATTCCTTTTAGCGTAATTTAGTCCAATATCTAGATACTTTGGCCGGAATGTGACGAGTTGAGGCCGTAAGAATGAATGGGAACTATAAAGAAGCACAAATACGGGCCGTAGGAGAACGGGGGAAGGAAGCATTTTAAAAATTTGATCCTCGGTCCAAAAGGTCATTTATTTTTAAAAAAAAAAAAAAAATCCTTTGAATAAATTCCATTATGTTCCACGCAAATCAAATGTTTCAGCAAATAAATAATAGACCAAATGAAATTATAAACCCCTCAGAATATACAATTTTACAAAATTTCACGTTTTTCTTACCTGGAAGGCCTTGGTGGCTGAGAGCCCGATGGCCAACTTGATCCCTTCGACGATGACGTCCAGATCCCTGCGGTCAGTCCCGAAGCGGGCGTAGAGAAGCGGGGCCGAATGAGGGTTCCGATCAGCCAGCCGAACCTCCCCGCGACTTTTGGGGTACAATATCATCGGCCAGATACTCCACGCGTCGCGGTCTTCCACCGGCTTGTAAACCTACGACAATAAGGTTGACGGAATAAAATCAACCATACGAGACAAATAATTGACGTAATTTTGCTAATTGATGGATTAGAGGACCGATAAAACAAATACGAAGCAAGGAGATATCCTATATGGACTACAATTTGGAATTAAGAACTACAATGATTTTTATCTAATCTTGCAGAAACAGCGTATCGACGGTGAAACTACCAAACCACGTATCTCGGTTTGCGACGTCGCAGACTTCCTGCCATACTTTAATTTTTAAATGGGAAAGTACTCAACGTCAATCCTTGAAAACTTCCGTGATTTTTCTTCTCAGTGCGAAGAAAATTCTATAAAAATTCAAGGAATGATATTGAATTGTTCTCCTCCGGGAAAATAAAATGAGAGCGGAGATTTTTAGACACCGCAAACGAGATACGTGGTTTGGTAGTTTCACCATCGATATGTGACGTTAGTTTTATTATGCAGATGAGTGTTTTTATGTGGATCGCATTTAGCGATAAGGAACCAGTGTGATTACGATGTTTTCGAAATCGTGCAATTTCTTTTTTGCTTTTAAAAATACACAATATTTGTTTACAGTATTAAAATTTACACAATTATTTCCCTTTAAAATTAACAATTTTTAGTGAGATCTAAAAACTATTTTGACGGCGTAAGTCCGCAATCACATATCTCGTTGACGGTGTCTGAAAGTCTCCGCCTCTATGTTATTTTTTGAAAGGAGAACAAATTGACAACATTCCTTAAAATATATGCAGAATTTTCTTCGGACAGAGAAGAAAAATCACGGCAGTTTTAAAAAATTGCAGTTGAGAGGTTTCCCGTTCAAAAAATAAAGTATGACAGGAAGTCTGTGAAGTCACAAACCGAGTTATATGATTGCCGACTTACACAGTCGATTTGCTATTTTGGAAAATTCCTTAGATAATTAAGAAAAAGCAACATTTTAACAACACTGTAATCGTACTGGTTCCTTTTTGCTAAATACGATCCATGTATGAGCCAGATTTTGTAGTTCATTATCGCAAAATACAGACCATTTGAACCAAAAATCAAGGCGCTCTGGCTTACTGAATGGCAAAAATCTGATGCAACTATTCGTGCCTGAGGGATGTCTGTGTTGCATGCGGAAGAAATGAAGGCGCTCTTGCTTTCTTAAGGCAACGCCTGGATGCAATGGACCAGTAGACAAAGTACCACTTTCCAACAGCGTGGAATCTTTCGGTGGCCAAAGTGCGGAACCAAGTTTCCCCGTTTGAAACGTTGCAGACTTCCTGTAATACTTCATTTGGAAAACTTGCCATCGTAATTTCTTAAACTCAATCTTGATTTTTCCTCTCTCTTCACCAAATATTTTGTGTGAATTTCACTCTGTAAACTTGGCACGTTTTTCTTTGCACAAGTAAAATAGGACCAAAAATTTTGAAACACCGCAATGAAGATGCGTAGTTTCGCACTTTGACCATAGATATATTGTTGTACCAAGGAAAAACGCCGTATAAACCCTCAGGCGTTGCCAAATCTCCCTCCACAAATCATGAATTTTCAGAAAATGTGTGAATATTTCTCTTCCAATTTTACACAAGATTTTGCTCGTGATTTGATCTAATAATCTAAAAATTGCAAGGACAAATATTAATAATTTTCTCCCAAATTAAATATTTTCTGAGAGGGAATTCGGCAACATACAAATATTCATACGGCGTTCTACCTTAGCACGACAGTATTGTTCAAGGCTCAAGGTTTCCGAGGGAGAACTTTCAATCGATTCAAAAAGAAGTGAAGAACTCCGTACGAATATTTGAATGTTGCCAAATTTCCTCTCAGAGAATATTTGATTTTATAATAGAATTATGAATATTTGAATCAGTGAGAACAAAAACACACCAACTCGGTCCCTCAAAAATGCTCTATTTTCAGTAAGGACAGACAATTTTCATAAAGTTCATTGAAGTTACCGTATCTGTACCAACTTGGACATTTAAAAATTCCTTAAATACTTGCTTTCAGGCGCCAAAAATATTTTTCTTCGACTAACTTCTTCATCTAATATGCAGTTTTGTGTGTCTTGATTTTTTTTCATTTTTACGAGTTGGTGTGTTTTCGTTCTCACTGATTCATTTGTCCTTGCAATTTTTAGATATTTTAGATCAAATAACTAGCAAAAACCTCTATAAGGCAAAAAAATGTTATTTTACCGAATTGTAGATTTGATCGGTGACTCCCATCCCCTTGCGAAGATCGAGTCCTTTGTCAGAGCCCAAGGAGGCAGGGACGAAGATAAACTCGATATCAGGGACATCCTCGTCGGGGAACTCGTCGTATTTAGTCTTGACGTATGCCAGTCCCTCGCAGCCCATGAGGGTCAATATCCCTGTGCCGTGCAAGTACCACTCCGTGAATGTGTCAGGGATCGTGTCGACGAGGAGCGAGGTCGTGATCCCTTTCGTGCTGTTCACCAGGAAAGTCAGTCCCGCCATGGATGTGTGTTCCTGGAATGTGCACAATTCGTTTGTATTCAATCACTTTCCCGCCATAGTATCACGAGCACCATTGTTGTCGCCGGGAGTGAATTGCTTAAAAAGCATTGCAAAATAATTAAGTGCTCTGGTATGAAAGAAATCTCTGTTAAAAGCATCGCACAATAGTATTTTAAGCGATTTGAACTGTTCAGCATGTCATACGATACAAAATTTTTAAAATTTCAACAATTACAAGTGTATTGGAAGAATTCAAAGAGGAAAATGTGAGGAGTTATTTTCCCCTAAATATTGAAAACTCGTAAGTTTCCTTCCATAAATTTATAAAATTTCGTTAATTCGTCAACTTTGGCCAAAGTATCACAAGCATCATGCGACGTTTCACAATTTCCGCCGCCATTTTATTTTTAACAGAGAAATCGTTGGTTGATTCGATTTGAAAATTTCACTGAATTTCGTCGGCGGCGCGATAAAATCGCGATTAAATCGCCATTTATCGAGATTTTTATTTCGAAAATATCGCGATAAATTGTCGGGCGATAAAAGCGCGATTTTATCGCAATAAGATCGAGGATAATCCTTCAGATGTTGATGATCCTGTCGCCGATAAAATCGCAATATATAGCTATTTTTTCGTTGAGAAATGCTACTTGGGTAGTTCCATTTTCGCTGAAATACATCCATTCTGAAAGAAGTCGCAGATGAAAAGGCGTTGAGTAGAATACCTGGAGATTCTGGCCGACTCCTGGAAGCTCGGTAATAACTTTGATACCGAGTTCTTCAAGATGGTCCCTGGGGCCGATCCCTGAGAGCATGAGGAGTTTGGGGGAGTTAAAAGCCCCTGCGCACAGGATGACCTCCTTGCGGGCCCGGAAGGTCACTTGTTTACCCCTGATCTCGGCCCGGACGCCGTACGCTATTTTGTCGCGGTTCAACAGGATCTTCGTCACCAGGGATAGCTGCAAAACGAATAAGTTGCTCCGCCAGTGTGCGTTTTTCAGGTACTCTTTCGAGTAGGACCGTCGGCCGTGACCTACGCAAAAATAAACACGTGTCAACGGTGTAACTTTGGTACAACATACAGGTTCTTACCAAAGAGTGCATAAAGTCGTAATACAGGGTGGCCAAGACCTACCGTACCAGGTCTTTTTTCGGTTAATTTGAGTCGCACGAAGTCCAGGATCGCGGAGATGAATAGGGAATCGACCCCAAGGAATCCGAATTTCATGGTCCCAGAGCCCCGCTGGCGCCGCTTGAGGCGTGAAAGGGGAGTCCGTACTTCAAAATTCAGGGCTTATGTTAAAATTTTGAAATTATTTTTCATCGGTATCAGAACGTACGGAAATTTTTAACTTAAATCGACACCAAGAAATCCAAAATTGGCCCATCCGTGTCCAAAATACCGACCCCTAAAGTCGGGGGGCAGAGCCCCCTTTTTCAAAAAAATTCAAGTTCGTCAAATTGACGTGGAGACTCGGAGAAAATGTGTATTCTTGGGTAATCGACCCCAAGGAATCCGAATTTGAGGGTCCCGTTGTCCTCAAAGACTTTTTTGATGGGGCACAGGGGGACTATGAACTTTTAAATTTGACCGGTGTGGAGGTTGCCCCTGTGCCCCATCAGAAAAGTCTCTGACGACAACAGGCTCTCAAATTCGGATTCCTTGGGGTCGATTACCCAAGAATACACATTTTTTCCGAGTCTCCACGTCAATTTGACGAACGTGAATTTTTTTGAAAGGGGGCTCTGTCCCCCGACTTTAGGGGTCGGTATTTTGGACACGGATGGGCCAATTTTGGATTTCTTGGTGTCGATTTAAAATAAAAATTTCCGTACGTTCTGATACCGATGAAATAATTTCAAAATTTTGACATAAACCCTGAATTTTGAAGTACGGACCCCCCTTTCACGCCTCAAGGGGCGCCAGCGGGGCTCTGGGACCATGAAATTCGGATTCCGTGGGGTCGATTCCCTATTCATCACCGCGATACTGGACTTCGTGCGACCCAAATTAACCGGAAAAAAGACCTGGTACGGTAGGTCTGGGCCACCCTGTATAATGAAGTGATCTGGGGTCATGTTCTGGTCAACGAGTTCCGAGCCCGGTTTGCGCCAAGATTCGGTTATCTTTTCGATACATTTTCGATCCAAAATAGCGATGTACGTGATAATTCATAACCTCTTTGTGTATTTCGGATGGCCGGGTCCCCCTGTATCGAAAACAATCGATTATGTACCAAAATGGTGACCCGGCACCGCTCAGGAGTCATGGAATTCGGTGACTGGAAAATACTTAAAAGTGGCGCCGGCTCCTTCATTCCTAATATGTCTCTGTGTACTCTATGGTTTTTACACTAGGGTAACACTGAAAACCGGCCGGAAATGCTCAAAAATGACGGGAAAAGGCGATTTATTGCATAGTCAGGGGAGCATGTGTTCGAAAATTACGTCCGTTTGCACGTTTGTGATGCAAGTTTACTCTCCCTAGGATGAGAAAATCTTTGGTGGACTCTCCGATTTTGATGCCAAGGCCCCAAAAACAAGACGGCGGCCAAAGTGGAGACTGAAATTCAAATTTTGGTAAAACGGCACAAAACGCCAAGAGAGGTGTCGATTCTCATGTTTTTTGGATCGTAGATTCCAGAAAAATTGTCATACAGACCCATCGACCCACGGAAATGCCCAAAATCCAAGATGGCGGCCGATTTTGGCTCTTTAGTGGCTAAAACGTCAAATGCGGAGCAAAGAGAGGAGTAAACACTCTATATATCTGTTTTCGAGGTCACATATTCCAAAAAAATAGGAGAAAAAAACATTTCATGCCAAATGGTGCTGATTTGGACCATGCGAAGGCCGAACTCGGCAGTCATTTTGATTAGAGTGTTCAGGAACACTCTAATCGAAATCATTTTCCGGGTCAGTTTCTATAATTAGCATTATTGGTTTTTTAGGATCGGTACCCCTGCAGAATATGGGTAAAGTTCTCAAATACGGCACAAAAAACGGCACAAAACGCCAAGAGAGGTGTCGATTCTCATGTTTTTTGGATCGTAGATTCCAGAAAAATTGTCATACAGACCCATCGACCCACGGAAATGCCCAAAATCCAAGATGGCGGCCGATTTTGGCTCTTCCCAAGTACCATTTTTCAACGGATAAATCGCGATTTGTTGAGATTTTGTCGGCGATAAAATCGCTAAGATCATCAGCATTTGAGCGATTATCCTCGATCTTGTCGCAAGAAAATCGCGATTTTATCGCCCGGCAATTTATCGCGATATTTTTGCAACAAAAATCGTGATATATGGCGATTCAATCTCGATTTTATCGTCGAAAATTGATCGCGATTTTATCGAACAAAAAATTGCAATGCATAGCGATTTAACCGCCATAAATCGCAATTTTTTATTCGATAATATTGCGGTAAATTGCCACCAATATAATCGCGATAATCAACCGATAAAATCGCTATCTATCGCGATTACTGGTACTTGGGGTTATTAGCTAAAACGTCAAATGCGGAGCGAAGAGAGGAATGAACTCTCTATTTATCTGTTTTCGAGGTCATGTATTCCAAAAAAAAATAGGAGAAAAAAATATTTCATGCCAAATGGTGCTGATTTGGACCATGCAAAGGCCGAACTCGGCAGTCATTTTCCGGGTCAATTTCTATAATTAGCATTATTGGTTTTTTTTTAGGACCGGTACCCCTGCAGAATATGGGTAAATTTGTTCTCAAATACGCAATAAAACTATTCCGATGTGTTTTGAGCCACTAAATCTGAAAATTGCGTTTATTCTTCCCGATCACCCCTCGGTTTTCCGAAAAACTAACCAGAATAATGATCATTTTTTCGGGCGGAATCGGCTTTTCCAGATAATGTAGGGTGATGGAAAAGAACGGAGGTTTCCGGATTCAGCCCCTGAAAATACGTAGGAATCACCTTATCTCATCCGGGAGACATGGTTGTAATTTTTTTGCTTGTTAAACAGTGCTATTGCCGGGGAGTACCTGATACTCCCAATTTCGATAATAATTAATATATTACACATACATACAAAGCCGCTTTTATAGCGCTCTCTGGCGCTCTGCGACACCTATAGCCGCCAAAGTTCCCGATCCTCCTAAGGCCTTTCAGGCAGTTCACATACCCTCATTTTTTCTAAAACCCTATGTCGCCACCCTTTCACTGGGTAATGGGTATCCCCTATGTCTCCTCCCAGGAGAAACCCAATCAAGCATCTTTTACGGCAGTCCTTCGTCCGTCATTCTATTGACATGGCCATACCAGTCAAGCTGTCTGATCATGCTGTCAAATACGATGTCATTTTCGACTCCCATGATCTGACGCACTCTTTCATTGCGGACCCGATCCCATCTAAAAATTCCTACAGCGACCTCCTCCAGAAATCCATTTCCGTTGCTCTTAGCATCCCCTGTGTCCGTTCCTTCAGCTACCAAACTTCACTGTCATATGTAAGAATACTTTTGTCTTCAACGTTATAAATTTTCCTCTTGTTCTCTTTGGAAATCTGCGGATCCCAAAGGATTCCATTGAATATAGCTGTAGCCTTCCTTGCTAGGATGTTTCTTTCCTTGATCCCTTTATCCGTTCTCCCATCCTGGGTCAACGGAACCCCCAAGGACCTATAGTGCGCCTTTGATCTGCTGCCCATCCTCCAACCCAATGCAATGCTGACCACCAATAGTTTTATTGCGTATTTGAGAACTTTACCCATATTCTGCAGGGGTACCGATCCTAAAAAACCAATAATGCTAATTATAGAAACTGACCCGGAAAATGATTTCGATTAGAGTGTTCCTGAACACTCTAATCAAAATGACTGCCGAGTTCGGCCTTCGCATGGTCCAAATCAGCACCATTTGGCATGAAATGTTTTTTTCTCCTATTTTTTTGGAATATGTGACCTCGAAAACAGATATATAGAGTGTTTACTCCTCTCTTTGCTCCGCATTTGACGTTTTAGCCACTAAAGAGCCAAAATCGGCCGCCATCTTGGATTTTGGGCATTTCCGTGGGTCGATGGGTCTGTATGACAATTTTTCTGGAATCTACGATCCAAAAAACATGAGAATCGACACCTCTCTTGGCGTTTTGTGCCGTTTTACCAAAATTTGAATTTCAGTCTCCACTTTGGCCGCCGTCTTGTTTTTGGGGCCTTGGCATCAAAATCGGAGAGTCCACCAAAGATTTTCTCATCCTAGGGACCAAAATGAAGAGAGTAAACTTGCATCACAAACGTGCAAATGGACGTAATTTTCGAACACATGCTCCCCTGACTATGCAATAAATCGCCTTTTCCCGTCATTTTTGAGCATTTCCGGCCGGTTTTCATTTCCGTTTGGATCCGTGCCCCATCGATGCACGTTAGTAAGGGTTTATTACTCGAAAGTATACACCTTAAGGTTGAAATGGAGAGAGAAAATTGGAATTTGCAGTTACAATCCATGGAATGCATCGGTTACGGTGTGAAAAATCGTCTTTTTGCGTCAATTTCGAGGATTTTCGGTCGGTTCCCGGTTTCCATCAGGCCGTTAATCGATCGGTGCATGTATGGAAAGCGTTGATAGTCCGTTTTTACACTTGTCAGAGGGTAAAGTGGGAAAAAATATCGATAATTGAAGAGTTCATTATCTAAATATTTGGATTAACGTGTGAAAAATCGTCCTTTTTTACCAATTTTTGGCCTTTTTTGGCCTATTTGAATTTTTTTAGGCCCTTAACCGTCCGATGGCAATTGAAAAAAGTATATCACCTAAAAGTATATATCTTAAGCTTGAAGTATTAAAAAAAAAATCGAAAATCGGAGAGACTGTTTTTTAGATAATGCAGTTTGAACATTGAATGGCGAAAAAATCGTAAATTTTAAAAAACTCTAAATTACGGCCATTTAAATAATTTTTAGCTCAATTTTGATAGCATATTTAGAATCTACATGAAAAATTGGTCTAGAAACACTCTTTCAAAGTATGATCGATTGATACAGAGTCTTGCTACAGAGAGTCATAGAGAGGGAAGTCGAGAAAATGAGAATCGCAAAAACGGGCGTTTTTGAATATCGCTAAAATTCACCCCATCTTTGGGGGTCGATATCTCGCGAACGGGGCGTCGGATGGGAAAACCCTTCAACTTAGTTTCTTAGAATGATGTAAAGACCCCGTATACCAATTTTCAGCCAAATCGGAGGGGGTCGGGTTCCGAGCTTGGTTGCGTTGACGTGGAATGACCCACTAAAGTCCTCGGTAAAACAAGAAATATGTCTGAAACGATTCATATAAATATTGTAAGATTGGCCGCATGCCAAATTCGACAACAATTTTGACATTTTTTTTAAAAAAGATTGTTTTAAGTTTTTAAATAATTATTTAAATAATCTTCTTGTAAAATACTTGTGGATAGAAGATATTTGTGGGAAGTTTGTAAGTATAATAACACCACCTTGAAAATGTGTTGAAAAAATAAATTCAGAATCATTTTTGAAATGACGCTGTTATCAATGGTTCAACCGCAGTGAATGACGTCATACACTATATTTTTGGATAGACGATGTACCCGTAATTCGGCAATCGGAAACATTTCATTATTTTTGGCTAATCTGTAAGATTAAACCACCCAAACACGAATCTGTGACCAGCGCAACTGAGCCATTATTCGAATTTCGAGAGAAGCCGATTCAACTTAAATTCAGTGGTGTCGTTGAAGGCCTGATGAATTTTCGAACTTTGACATGCGAATCCTCTTCCAATTGAGTAACTTTACCTGTGCCTACCTTGAGATGCTTGGATGGCGGAGAACCCGACGTGAGTGTTGGGGTTGTTGTAATCGACCAGCTGGAAACCAAGTTCTTTACCGGCCTCGAGGAAAGCGTTGAGCATCTGGGTCCTGTACGGCGCGTAGCCTACCTCGATGGGGCCTTTATTCGAGTGCCATGGCGAGTCTTCTAACTCGGGGATCGTGTAGTTTTCGCTCTTCAGGAAGTAAGGTAGAACCTCTGAGTAGCTCCAACCTGTAACAGAAACAGTATTGTGACGATCAGACACTGGAATGGTGGTCAAAAACCTAAAAACAGTAATTAAACTGGAATAGAGTTAGAATATATAAATTAAAAAACTTACACTCCCCCTTACTTAATAGGCTAAGGAATGTACTAATGTACTTCAATGGTAGTGCGCTTGATGTATTACGTAAGGCAAGTTGGAGTTTCCTAATTTTGGAGATTCCAGTATTTATTGGACTGCATTTTGCAATTTGGAACTATAAATTCTGGCCTGGTTAAATAACAACGTATGTACCATTAGTTTCCCTAAGTGCACATAAGTGTTTTTTCAGATGAGCCAGACTTTATAGTTCTAAATTGCAAAAAGCAGTTCTATTGATGTACTTCTCTTGTTTCTTACCCTTCTTTTTACTATTAGTTTTACCATAGAAAGTGCTGCGCAATATATGTGCCACGAGCGACAAGTGATCGCCGGCAGTTTGGAAATCATTTGGCGAATAGAAAAATATAAAATGTAGAAAAATGGGAGTGCGGGTTATTTCCTCCGGGATTGAAATGGACGCTTTTCTTTATTTTGAACATATCGACAATATAGGTCCACAATCATGCATATCGAATTTGCAGACCTCCTGTCATACTTTATTTTTTGAAGAGAAATCACCCAACGTCAGCTCTTACAAACTGCCGTGATTCATCTTCTCTGTGCGGAGAGAATCTGCGAAAACCTCAACAAATGAAGTCGATTTGTGTTCCAATGATCGTGCTAAACGCGCGAACGCATGCCAGCGCCTGCAAGACCGCATGAATACTTCACAAAATGCGCGTACCGCATGGCGCGCGCTGTCAGTGCCTTCAAGACTGCATGGATACTTCACGCATTGCGCGAACGGCACTGTGCGCGGCTCAATCGTCACGTTTCCCTTACTCCCGTCGTATGTAGTTCTAATTGGTATGAGCTGGTTACACGCTCAAATTTCCGTCAAATTCCGATCAAAATGACGGTCAAGATGGCGGTCGAGAGTTATCTAGATTGATGAGTAAAATTAATTAAAACAGCGTGTTGATTGATTTAAGCATGAAATAAACACGGTTGTGTGGAAATCAGATGAAGGATGAGCCCCACAGTTCCATCATCTACCATCAAATTATTGCAGGCCGCAGAAATTTGATGGTAGATGGTGCGCACCAGTCACCATTTGATCGGAAATTGATGGAAATTTGAGCGTGTAACCAGCGCATATGAGAAGAGATTTTGAATCGCATCGGGGAACGTTGTATCTTGGTTAGTGGTTAGTTTCAATGACTTTCGTCGTATAAATCGTGTTCTGCGTTCAGAGCAAAAATTGGGTGATAGTTGCTCAAGCAAATCTTCTCTATGTAAAAACATAACTTGATGGCCGCCGATTTTTACATAGATATGCACGAAGAAAACTTCAGTACAGGGAAGGAAACAGTTGCGTAGGAAGTTCCGCGCGATGTATAGGGAAATTAAATCCTTACTTCAAGGTAGCTACAAATCGTGCCAAGTAAAATTTGACGTTGAAGAAGTTTATTTGCAACAATAAAAACTCTTTAGCTGCTATGACTGCAAAACTTTCCTTTTTAGAAGAAAACTTTCGTTGCAGCAAAGACAAAAATGTATGAATGAGTCGGTTGAAGGAAATGATGTACGAATTTAAGAAATTTAGAAAAACTACAACCGTGAGGTTTTAATTATTTACTTTGGAAATCGCGTTGACACCGTCAATATTATTGAGATGTAATGTAATCTGTTTTCAGTGCGAATGTCAGGAAAATTTAGAATATCCGGAAAAGTTGAAATAAATCAGGGAATTTTACTTGAAATTCTGATGAAAAACTGCACGGAAAAGAAAATTTCGATTCGTGCAGGACGCCAAAGTTTTCGGTCCAGGTAAAATAAGTTCTCCTTCAAAAAAACTGAATTTCAATCCAGTTAACCAAAATTTTCAGTCATGGAACCGAAATTATATGCAGGTAACCGTAATAGACTAATACCTTACATTCTCCACCGCAGACTTTATCCATGTCCATCGAAGTGCAGTTTTAATGAAAACTAGCTCCAAACAGAGGCGGACCCAGCAACATGGTGTCGCCGAGATTCTCTCCGTTGAAACTTATGTTAAATAATCGATTCTTGTCAGAGCACCTGGCCCTTCCAAGAATCGATGCATTTTCTTAGGTTCAAATACAGAAAAATAAGGTTGCCAATTTGCTGGATCCGCCAATGGCTCCAAATACCTGAACCGAAACTTTGATGTCCTAAATGATAAATAAAACCTAAAATCGATCTCAGTAACCGGAGATTACTTCCACATTTGAAAAGATCACAGATAATACCAAGCATCGTAAAAATAGAAAAAATAGGCGCGTCCGGGCATTTTGAAATCTCGAGGGTAGCTAAATAAAGCCGGAGAAACCCTTCAAAAGTCGGAAAATGATGGCTCTCGAGCTAAAAATAACAAACTTCTCTGCAACGATTCCATCTTTTCCAGCGCGCAAGCAGCAAAATAATTTAATTTCTTATCCCGACGGACACGCTCGAAATGCCTACGTTAATCCGCAAGTCTTCGTGTCTACTTTCGGCACGAGCCGCTGATTACGGAGCTCTGTAAAGGCGTGGCGTGCTTTGCGATATATCGATTGATCTGCCATTTAAACCCGTGGAAAAGGATCGATAAACAGGGTGTCACAACGAACACATCAATAATCGATTATTTACCATAGCCTCAAATAGGGAAATATCGATAATCGATTATTCACGCATCACCGACGTAACTTGTGAGAGCGGTGCGCTAAAGACCGTGCGTCAACAGGCCCGAATGAAAATATCGCGTGCACGGACGGGCTCCCGCGATTAGATCCCTGGACGAGGGACTTGGGTAACTAGCTCTGATAAATAATCCCCAGGGATGTCGTAGCAGGGCGTTAGCGACTTCCTACTCTCGATGCCAACATAACGCGGCGTAAGGGTTTATCTCGATTTCCGTATGAGCCCCAGAAAGCACGGGTTTATATGTAAAACAGGGCTCACGTTGAAATTAAGATACGCCCTTACAGCAAGGGTGCGCTGAATAACCTCCTCATTTTGCGTGCTTTAGTTTGGGGGCGCGCGGAGCTTTCTAGAATTTTTCGCTTCATTTAACTTGATAAGTGCGAGCGCGGAAAGTACGGTGGCAGTCCGCAGTCGGTATCGCTCGCGTCCGGCGGAGCTCAATTTAGCGCCTTCATTCTGACGAGATACCCCTCGCTGCACCTTGAGTCTAACGACATATTTCTATCTACGCCTTCATTCCCACGAGATACTATTTCTACGAAACATTTTCTGTCGTGTCTTCGTTCTAACGAGATTTTTTTTTTTCGGTGTTTTTTATTCTAGAGATACATATTTTGCAGTTCCTTCATCCTGAAAACTAGTTTTTGCAGTGAAGCAAACAAGCTACTCCTCGAGGCGCCTTCATTTTAACGAAATGTTTGTCGCGGTGTCTTATTTGTGAGATATTTTTGCTGCGTCTTCATTCGGACGAAACATTGTCCGTCGTATCTTCACTCTGACGAGATTTTTTTCGGTGTTTTTTATTCTGACGAGATATTTTTGTAATTCCTCCATCCCGAAAACATACAGTTTGCAGTGGGCCAAACGAGCTACCCCTCGCAGCGCCTTCATTCTAACGAGAAACCTACTTGTCGTGCTGTCTTATTTCCGAGATACTTTTGCTGCATCTCTTCATTCTGACGAAACATTGTCCGTCGTGTCTTCATTCTAGCGAGATTATTATTTCGAGGTCTTTTATTCTAACGAGATATTTTTGTAGTTCCTTCATCCCGAAAACTACTTTTTGCAATGAATCAAACAAGCTACTCCTTTGGCGCCTTCATTTTAACGAGATACAGTTTGCGGTGTCTTAGTTCCGACGAGGTACTTCTTACAGCGCCTTCATTTTAGCAAGATACTCCTTGCACTGCAGTCATCTCATTCCGTATTCGCCATCGTGAAAGTCCCACGATCTCAACGAACCCCCAAGTAAGTTTGAAAATCGTCGCCTTTCTTTGTCACCGTTTCAACCGTTTTATTAAACAAGTAAAAACGGTTCATTGCACATCCATGTAAGATGGGAACGCTACGATTAGCTCCTAAAATTGGTGAAAAAAGCATTTGATAAACCGTCACTTGAGAAAGTTTGAAAGTTTAATAAGTCTTTAAAGCTTTCGTAGATACTCTTAATCAGGATGTGCGGGATCTCAAAAATCGATGGTAAAACTACAGAAACGTATATCTCGGTTTGAGGCGTTGCAAACTTCCTGTCATACTTTATTTTCCACACGGGAAACTACCGAAAGTCATAAAAATATTCTTTCTTTATACAAAATATTCCGTAAAAGCGTCAAGCCATGATGTTGGTTCGGTCTGCTTTCAAAAAACAAAGAAAGGGCGGAAATTTCGAAACACCGCTACCGAGGCACGAATTTTTGTAGTTTCACCGTCGAAAAATAAGTCGAAGGCAAATAGTAAAATCAGGCATTTTGTCCAATGCCTACGGGCTAATAGTCGAGATTGAAATTTTGGTTATTTTCCAAATTTTAGCAAAAATGAATCGTTACTCCTGTAAAAGAGAATTGAGTTATTCTTCCCAAAATATTGAAAAGCCGTGATCTCGTCGCCATAAATTTACAGAATTTCGTAAACTATCACAATTTTCTTACCAGCCTAGGCATTCGATAAAATGCCTGACTTGACTAATTGCCTTCGACAGATATATTGTCTTGGTGGACAGTACCTGGATTGCCTTGCGCGGCCCAGTTGTCGTAATCCCTGCGGTTGCCACGGGTCCAGATCATGGCGTTGATGTTGCTCGTGCCGCCGATGCCCTTCCCGGCGGGCCAGGGACAGACCCCGCCCTCGAGCCCGAGGCACATGCCCTCCTGCGGCTGGGCCCGGTACTTCCAGTTATACTCGGTCAAGATCAGGAACGTGTTCACCAGCGGGATCTCCGTGAAGAAGGTCTGCTCGTAGCCGGCCTCCAGGACCAGCACCGTCCAATCAGGGTTCTCCGACAGACGTGCCCCCACCACGTTCCCCGTCGTACCCCCGCCAACCACGATGAAGTCGTACTCCCGATCCAACAGCTCCTCTGCGAATCAACATTTTCAGGAATCACGATTGAAAAATTCTTAAACATGCAGTAAATATTTTTTTCCGAATTTTTTGGACAATTTTGTTCGCGATTAAATCTAAAATATCTGGAAATTTCAAAGGGAAATATGCACAACTTTCCTTAAAAATGCATGTCTTATCCAGGGAAATTTGGCAACTCTCGAATGTTCATGAGGCGTTTTTCCCTAGCACTGCAGAATACGACGCATTAACTCATGAGCCCTGTCCATGACGCTCTTGTCACATGCCCATGTCTCACGACTGCCGCGTACAGTTGGCACTTGCTTCCGTTTAGTAGAATGCAAAATCCCGCTTTTCCATTTCCCCACGCTCACTTGTACATTTTTTTTTTCATGCAACTCTCTAGAGCACACTCCATCTTTCCCACTCGTCTGTAGTTCCGTTCAGCAGAAATTCGTCCAAATATCCAAATCTACGGTTCCAGGTGAACTCTTTTTAATTGAATGGGAAACATGAGTAGGTAATAAAAATGAGTAAATACTAAGCAGTACTAGCAGTACAGCCACTAAGCAGTTTTGGCAGTATTCGATAATTAGACGTATTTCTGCCAAACGGGACTATGTGCATTATAAAGTGAGCCTCGTTATGCATACATTCTCACGGGTCTCAGGGCTCATGTCTTAATGTATATAGTTCCTTTGGGCAGAAATACATCCAATTTTTCCGCGTTAAATGATGAGCCACGATTGGAGGTATATATTTGTCAAATTTTAATTTCATGAGATATTTCACGATTTTCTTTTTCATAAAATGTTTCCACTCTGCTTTAAGTTACTTTGAGTTACTTAGTTTCGGTCAGATCAACCAAAAGGTCTTGATCGATTGGCCAGATTTTTTGTTGAATCTACCCAAACCTTTGGTTACTCTGAAACATCCCGGGAAAAGTGGCGTGGCGCGCTTTGCGGTTCATAGATTGATTCGCCATTTAAACTTACGGAAGAGGATCGATAAACAAGGTGTCCGCAACGAACACCTTAATAATCGATTCTTTGCCATAGCTTCAAATGGGGGAAATATCGATCATTCACGCCTCACCACTGTCTGAAACATCTGGGGAATGGGGATGAAGAAAGTGTCCTGCTGAACTAATGTATTCTACTTTTGATATTAACACAAACGTCACACCGAGGGTCGAGTCAATCAGAGAGGTCAGACATGAAATTTTTGACAAAAACTGCAAATTTTGACGTTTATTTTGTCACATTTTAACTTTTAAGGGGTGTTTCTTGAAGAAAATCTCACGAGAAAACCAATGGAACCACTTTTGGAACCTCGAAGTTTTGTATAAACGGAGTTATAAGCTTTTATAGTTTCCCAATTTTGTCCGACCTCCCCTATTGACCCGATCCACTGTGCTTCAGTTAATTTTTCTCACTATGCAGATACGAGTGAAAAGATAAGAGAGGGATGACCGTGCGTTACCTCTCACAAAAGACTCTTCCTTGGCCAGCAGACCTTTCTCGACGTACAATCGCAAAACTGCCGTGAAGAAAGTGAGGGGTATCGCGAGGACATGAATTCTTTGATACAATACCCATATGCACAAAATCCGCAAAAGCTTGCCGTATAAATCTGTGAAATGAAGAGATAGAAGTTAGAAATACAATCCAATCAAATATAACTTAAAATTAAATTTACAAAATACTAGATTCACTGAAAAAAAACGCATCGGATCTAGAGCCCAGACTCTTAAAAACATCGACAAGAAAAAATACTCTTGATTCAATCAGATTTAAGCTTAAATCAAGAACCAAGCCTCTTAATTTGAGCGGATTTCCTTTTGATTTAAGCTTAAATCTGATTGAATCACGAGTCCATTTTCTTGTAAATGTTTTCAAGAGTCTGGACTCTAGATCCAATGTGGTTTTTTTCCAGTGTTTTAAACACAAGTGGCGGTTATGGCATAGCGTCTTTCATTCTGAGAAGGATTCGTCCTAGCACTGCGTAACAGACTTTTCCCGTTTTTCATCCCTCCCTCCACCCCGTTGGCAACACTATTTTTTCTCCACTTAAATGTATGTAAGACAATCGATTCTTGGTGAGGTACGAAAACAATATTTTTAATGGATCTAAGTAAAGGAAAAACGGTATTGCCAACTTGCAAAATTGCATCGGTAAGTAGCCAAGTAGCATTTTACAACGAAAAAATCGCGACATTTTTAAATTCGGCCACGTTTTTTTACGATTTTTTTGCGGGAATAACATCACTAGGATTATCAACATCTGAGCGATAATCTTCGACAATTTCGCAATTTTATATCTACAAAATCGCGTTCGATAAAATCGGAATTTTATCTCAATTTATCCTGAGGCTTTGATAATATTGCGATAAATTGCCGTCGATAAAATCGCGATTTTATTGCAAATCTATCAGTGGCGTGGCGTGGCGTGCTTTACGTTACATCGATTGTTATGCCATTTAAACCTATGGAAAAGGATCGATAAACAGGGTGTTCGCAGCGAACACCTTAATAATCGATTCTTAACCCTAGGTTTATATGGCATAACAATCGATATATCGCAATTCACGCGACGCCACTGAAATCTATGCGATGAAATCGCAATTTATCGCTTTTTTCATCCGATAATACTGCAATTTATCGACGTCGATGAAATCTAGATACATTCTTCGATCAAGTCGCAACTTTTCACGATCTTTGCTACTTGGGTAGGAGTGCAATTTAAAGATATACGCTGTGTCCTAAAGTGTCCATTTGCAACGAATTGAGGTTCATCTAAGAAGTTAAAACCAAAGAGAAAAGTCATTAAATATTGCATGACGAACTAATATACTTTAGAGCGTTCCTTTGATTGGCGAGGTTTATAACTACAACAAATATCCTGCATTCAGCAATAAATGCGGGGAATGTACGTATGCTATCTTCCACGTTGCTTTTTTTTCATCGATTTTTTTGTATACCTCTCGTGGCCAAAGTTTAACAAAAAAAACTTTTATAAATGGTTTATGTTTCAAATTCTTGAAAAAAAATGGAAAGTTATAATAAAAGGAAAAATGAGTTTCTAAAACTGAACAACTGGAATGCGTAAAACTACAAAATCCATAAAAACCCAAAAACGGCTTAAATGAGTAGAATCTCCATTCATTTAGTCTATTTAGTTCTAACCCGTTCCGTTCCAGCATCAAGACTGAAAAAATTAGAGGGAAAATATATCTTTTCATCAAAACTAAAAATAAGGAAAAGGAAAAAAATTGGAAGAGGAAGAAGCAAAATAAGCAAAATCCTCTCGAAAGTCGCACAAAAATTGTTTTCAAAGCATATTTTGAAACATGAACGTTTGAGGAAAACAGCTCGATCAAATGCGAGAACAATGGATTCAACACACAAAAAAAAATCGATGGAATTATCAGCTTATCGAGCCCTAAAAATGGCCAAAACTTCAGTCGTCCAATGATTAGAACATCATCGTCAGGATTGTTTACGGAGAAAACCACTCACCCATTTTCAAACCCGCCCTGCGTCGAAATAACCCGAGCCAACTCCACTTAAAGTTTTAAATGCTTATCACTTCACGGCACTAATTTGCGTTACCGAAAGACAGAACAGTGTCATCTCCGTGGAATAAAAATTGCGAATTCCAGTGGGTCCGTTTCGGACTCGGCGGCTAGGTGTTTTGAAATCGCGATTGTCAGCAGATCTTCTGGATTCTCCGGTTGCCGGAATTCAACGACCGCGCTGAATTTCAGCGCGCGGTTAACGCGGATCACACCGCGTTTTCTTCCGATCGTGGCATCCTCGTAAACAGCATGACCGCGTGTGTAAACATTCGGTGAGTTTCAGTGGAATGATTTTTGCCGGTCATTCAGTCACCTTTGAGAACGTGCTTGCGATGTGGCAACACCGAGCGTAGCCCATTTAAACGCTTTTAAAACGATCGAAATATATAGACTGGAAAAAAATTCTCGGCGTTTTTACCGAGGTCCGTTGGTACCTTTACCATCTCACTTTTTTTTCCAATTATTGGTAATTTAACCAAGACAGATTAATTCGTACCTCGCCAACCGGTTCACTGAACAGTTTCTTAGGATCCAACCTAAACCGTACTTTTCTGCCCTTTATTTCTCTTCCTGCAATATCTTGAACGACCCCAAAAACTACAACCATCAAGTTCGTATCCTTAATATGATAAGTTAAACGTGTAGCTTATAATGCATTTGGTCGTTGCTATTCTTGATTTCCAAGCAGTCGTGCATTCACCTGTGGCATGGATCTAATCTTTGATAAGACGTCATGTATATTTAATTCTTGAATAATCCACCTTAGTGTCGACCCTTTGCGCCTGAAATTTCACCGCAGTCCACCCGCACGGCAAGTAACCTTAGTTGTAGTGGAACAACGCTATGTGGCTAAAAGAGGTAAATCATATTTGACGTGCCGCCATTAAAACGCCCCTAATTCAATAACCGGGAATCGTTTCATTTCATAGCTAAAATTAGCATTCCGGTTTTTTTTCCATCACCGAAAGTCGTTAAAGCCGATGGAAGTACGCAATAATTTTCGCCCCTAAAACATCCCCTGGACGTCATTTTATGTTACCGAGCTCATAAACTCTCGAATTTGCATGCGTGATGAAGCAGGACCACCTCCTTTCATGATTCAATAAAAATGATTATTTGAAGAAAATTTTCATTTTATTCTGACTTACACGCAATTGAGGGACTGAACATAGAGTCTCTATTTACGGGAGAGTATATTGCCATCTCTTTATGCCGCTCTCTGATCGGTTCATCAGTTTTTGGGTATCATGGGGCTATAAAGTTGGCGCAATTTAAACAAACCAAACCCAGAGGAACACGTATTATGGGCTGAGAAATGAATAATAATCACACTCAAAGGTTAATTTTCGGCAAATATATCGATTAAAGGTCGATCCAAACTCAATTCAGAAGTTGATCATACAAAAATGTCTATCACATCTAAAATCTCGTTTAGAACTTTGTAGAACTTTGTCGCGATCTTGTTTGTTTACGTCTTTTTGTCTTGGGTGGTTTTTATACGAGGATTAAAAATGACCAAGTGGTACGGAATATATCAAAAGAAGATGAACTATGCAAAACGATAATCCGGGTATCGGAACTTGGCAGTTTTGAAAACGCCTTCAAATGCGGCGTGATACCTCACGCATTCCGGAGAGTTCGAATAGTTGTATCATTGCGCCGTAAGAATGTGACGGAAGATTACAATTGAAATAACCCTCATGCACGCTGGGCTTGTTGATTTCCTTTGACATTTTTGCAGTCGTGTGTGCATAGCTTAAGTGCGCTCCAGCCAGAAGTGTAGTCAGCAAATGAGTAGTTTTTATACGATGATTGAAAACAAACAAATGGTAGGAAATAAAACATAATAATCGGAACTTTGCAAAACGATAATCCGGGTATCGGAACATGGCTGTTTCGAAAACTTCAAATGCGGCCTGATACCTCACGCATTCCGGATAGTTCAAATAGTTGTATCAACAGACTGTTGCAACAGACCCATACTGGCATTGCCGCAAAGAGGCCAGTGGAGGGTCTCTTGTTTCCGTGTAAAAAATACAAATGAACCAGTAGACAAGGCACGAATTTCAGCATTCTGATACGCGTTTCATAACCAAAATTTCACATAGAACACGATGCGCACAACGAGAATTACCGAAATCAACTCCTTACGAGGATAGTTAACAGTGGCGTGGCGTGAACTGCGATGTATCGATTGTTTTACCATTTAAACCTATGGTAAAGGATCGATTATTAAGGTGTTCGCTGCGAACACCCTGTTTATCGATCCTTTCTCATAGGTTTAAATTGCATAACAATCGATATATCGCAAAGCACGCCACGCCGTTGCTATTTAATGATTCCTGATGCTTGAATTCAAACCACCCGCTCATGAAAACTCAATGCTCTACGTGACTCACACATCGCGCGCTAAACGTTATCATGACAATCTCTGCATGCGATATAAAAATCTGGCAACCTCAATCTTGACGCTTTGGCTCAGCTGTATAGCAAGTTGTTTATAGTTTGAACAATACACGGTGGGAAATGAACATTGCTCGATTGAGAAGCTTGCTGAAACCGTTGTAGTGCGCGATGTGACTCACGTGGAGATTTGAGTTTCTCGTGAGCGGGCAGTTCAAATTCCTTGTGACCAATGTGAAGTAAAAACGTTAATATCTTCATTTGGAGTTTGTTTCATTAGTTTTCGAAATCGTGTTCTACGAGAAATTCTGGTTAAGAAACATGTATCAGAATGCTTAAATTCGTACCTTGTTTAGTGCTCCATTGCGGTGTTCCAAAATTTTCGCTCCTATTTTATTTTTCCTAAGCGAACCAAGTGGATTGTGTGACAGTGGGTGAAAACTTTGATATTTCTTATCAGCGAATAAACTCTTGAAAATCAGGGAATGAGTATTCTCGATGTTCTGGAGACTGTGTCTAAGAGCGAAACCACGTATCTCCATTGTGGTGTTGCAAAATTTCCCATCGGATTTTATTCTTGCGAAGAGAAACAAGTCTACTTGATAGCTTGAAATCATAGAGTCAATAGAGTCGTAATGTAAGTGGGAAAGCTGGCGCCACTTTTAAGCATTTTCCATGTCCCGAATTCCGAGACTCCTGTGTGACGCCGGGTCACTTTTTCGATACATAATCGATTGTTTGCGATACACGGGTACCCGGCCATCCGACAACAACAACAACAACAACAACAACAACAACAACAACAAAGGAGATAGGAATTGCCACGTATTCCATACCGCCATTTTGGATCGAAAATGTATCGAAAAAGCGACCCGAACTCGGCGCACACCAGGCTCGGAATTCGTCGAGCAGAACATGGCGCCAGCTCTCCCATTTACATTACGACTCTATGTACTCTATGCTTGAAATTCACATACGCAATATCGTGGTACTAGGGAGGAACGATCAAGAGTTTTCAAGAAATCACGTCAAATAGTTTTCCAAGGAAAGAATGAAGTACGACAGGAACATCGGACTCCAAGAGTTTCATGAAAGACCCGAAAGTCGCGAACAAATCCGGGAGCAACATAGACGTGGCAAAACCCTGCCCGCGTATAAGCACTCTAATATGAATTGGAGAGCGCTTTCGTAAATTAACGATGAGTTTGCCCGTGAAAAGCACCTTCCGGAACCTGCGACGCATTAGCCACCCTTCGCCACCGTTTCCACCCCTCCACCCTGCCAGCGCACCCCTCGGCGTATTGGCCTAGGTTGACTTCCAGCCTGTTGCGCACAATTCATTCTCGCGGGTTTCATTACGATGATTGACAGCTCTCCATAGTTGCCAGGTCGTGCATTATAATGTGACTATTCGTGCGGGTAAGCGGGGGGAAGGCTGACATTTTAGCGCATTTTTTAGCTGACATTTTTCAAAGGAAAAATGGCGATTTGTTGCGATTTTGTCGGTGATAAAATTGCTAAGATCATTAACATCTGAGCGATTATCCTCGATCTTGTTGCAATAAAATCGCGATCTTATCGCCCAGTAATTTATCGCGATATTATCGCAACAAAAATTGCGATATACGGCGATTTAATCTCGATTTTATTTACAAAAATTGATCGCGATTTTATCGAACAAAAAATTGCGATGCAAAGCGATTTAATCGCCATGAATCGCAATTTTTTATTCGATAATATTGCGATAAATTGCCACCGATATAATCGCGATAATCAACCGATAAAATCGCTATTTATCGCGATCACTGTTACTTGGGCATATCGCAACAATGCGTTTCGTAGGGGAGGAGGTGTTGAGTTGGCTTGAATCCAAAGGTGAGGGGAGGCTGATTGTCTACAGGGTTGCGGACTACCCCCACCCATTTCCCTTCGCACTTATGGCATCTGGCGAGGAGTCAAAGCAGTTTGGGCCCCGATGTTAAAAAACGAAACACAACACAGCCGCGCTGGAGAAAACCCACGTATCTCCTCGGAATTTTTAAGTGGAGTTGCGCGGTTTTCAGTGGCTTGGCGTGCTTTGCGATATATCGATTGATACGCCACTCAAGCCTATGAAAAAGATCGATTGTTAGGGTGTTCGCAGCGAACACCTTAGTGATCGATTCTTCACCATAGCTTCAAATGGCGAGATATCGATAATCGATCGTTCACGCCACGACACTGGCGGTTTTCGCTATGCTGGGTCGGACATGGGAAAGGCGGACATCGTAAAGCGGACGCAGATCGATAGGGTCATGCGCGGCGCGTTAAGGCACGCTCCCACAAGCAGCGCGCGACGCGAAGTCAACTGCGCGACGCACAACGGAACGAATCAATGGGGATGTTGCATGTGTCAGGAATTTGCAATTTGACAGTTAACTCTTATGTAAAAGTTCGCGAGAGACACGATGGTGCCACTGGTTTTCTCTGAAAGCTCAAAAAAATCTCTCAACTTGAGGCCAAAATGGAGGGGATATCCCACCCTACCCTGAGAGTCCACCTCTACATCAAGACAAACTCTCCATGCAAACTCTGGTAAAAATTTGCAGTAGAATCTGTATTCCAAAACACCGTAGACCTACAGCAGGCGGTAAGATTTCCAATAGCTTCTATAGCCGGCAACACAATTCCTTGTAGCCTTTTGTAG